TATCTATCTATCTATCTATCTATCTATCTATCTATCTATCTATCTATCTGTCTGAAATTAAAGATGTACTCCTAAAAGCAGTTGCTTTTTGTTTTTTTTCTAGGACTTGAAGACGACCGGAACAAAACGAAATAAGAATGTTCAATACTCTGTAAACTTTGCTCCTGAAATCCTTTTTGAAGCCCAGTACCTTTCATATATGGGCCTCAGTCTTCCTAAGTTGATTGTAATCTTTGCCCTTCTGGAGCAACGCATTTTAAGGTGGTAGCTCTCCCTAGATCGATCAGATCAAACTGCCACAACTACACTGTTCTGTCACCCTCTTTACCTTTGCTTAATTTTTTGTTTTGTTGTTGTTTTTTTGTTTTTTTTTTAGTTATGTGGACAACCTGTGGAAACTGGTCAACCAGTATCAGTCTGTGATGGACAGTGTGAGCGAAGTTCATCTGCAAATGCTGTCGTCGCAAATACAGAGAGTCAATGATGAGATGGAGTATGGATGCACAAGACTGACCTGGAAATCTCTGGGTACCTAGCTGTATTAGCTACATCTTATATATTCCCATTTGGAACTCCTCTTCCTCTCATAACAATCTTAATTGCTTGTGAAACAGATTGAGAAAGATGTAGAAATGTGTCAGGAAACTGACCCGTTCAGCTGTATATCTATGATGAAAATTTCACACTCATATCTCCAATTTGCTCTGTAACCCAATGGCAGGGGAACTCCTGATGTTTAAAACTTACCCCAAACCTTTGATGGCACATTATCATTTTTCCCATTACTACTGACATTTGCACAAGAAAACTGATGTTTTCAAAACAATTAGTATTAACTGCAGAAGTTTGTTGATAACCTGCAAAATGGGTAGCTCATTCCTCAAAAGGAAATATTTATCAGAATCAAAGTCAGAATTACTTATTTATTACTTGTTTCCAGAAACATATATATATTTATGTTTATGCCACCAAATGTGTCGTCATAAAGCTAAAGTAGAATGACTTTTTCATGTTTTCATTATGAAAGTGTTAATCATGGGGGGTGGGCATGGAATATAAAGATGAATATTTAATAAATAACATTGCTAAATATGATTTCATTTACCCAGATAGCTCTTGGATTGTTGCTCGCTTCACACAAATGCTCAAAAATTGATCAAATCATGTTAAAACAGCGATGTCTGTGCATATTTGGAATACGTTCACAACATCTATTTAGAATGATAAAACGTATCAAGAAAAAAATCATTCAAGTCAGCAGCAAGTACCTCAGGTACCAGTTTTTGTGTTTAAACAAAAACTGGAAGAATAACTGAGTATAAAACACTGAATATGTCTGTTTTTATATTTTTACTGTATATGCTCTTTGCAATTTACATTTTTTGTAATGTGCAAAAGAAAACAATAAAATAAAACCCTATTTAAAACACACATTAAATATTTTAGGGTAGAGGTGAGTATAGAAATGAGCATACAACACAGCTGTACTGTAAATCACATATTTACATTTATACACTCCTCACCATCTGGCCACAGTTTCATCTACACCACACCAAGTATTTCCTGCAATGCAATAAGGAATGCATCTCCTCGAGTGGAGAATCCACTCTCTGCAAGACTGTTGTAATGTTTCCACATTCTGCATCCCTGGCTGCTAGCAAGGAGGAGAAAAACCTCTATTGGATTTACGCAGAGGTGACAAAAATATTAATGGTTATTACTCAAGTACGAGTATAAATCCTACTTTTGTAGAGGTTAGAGTATCAACTTAAGAATTTTGCTCAAGTAATACTGCAAAAGTATTATTTTTAAAACTGCTTAAAGTATAAAATTAAGTGTAATGCTAAAAAAAAAACTTACACTGAGCTACACTATTGAAGGGACATTTTTCTACAATTCTGGATGACAAATTCCTGATACTTAATTTTCTTAATTTTATAACTAATGGTAACTGACAAATGACAAAACTTAACATCATCCTGCAAAAAACTACCTACTTTTGCTTTGTGACAAATAACAAGTTTGTGAAGGACTGAGTCCAACCATAATTAAATTCATTGTCAGGATGAAACAAATTATTTTGGTGTTTTAAATTTTTTTAAAATACCAACAGGCCATAACAAAACTTAGCTTAAATGAAGAAAACTAACAAGTATATTTAAAAAAAAAAATGTAAGCAGTAGAAAATAAACAATTGCAAAATAAATGTAAGGAGTAGAAGTAAAAAGTTGTCTTTAAAAAAATTACTCTTTCAACCATTTTATTGTCATTATACTGTAAGTACAGAGCAACGAAATTAACTTTCTGCATTTAACCCATCCCCTTGGGGAGCAGTGGGCTGCCATTGAGGGGGGGCACCTGGGGAGTTGTGTGAGGTTAAGGGTCTTTGCTCAGTTACACAGAGTAACTGGCAAGTAAGTGGCAGTCTGTGGAAGTGGGGCTCGAACTCAGAACCTCAGGATTCCAAGCTCTATGCCCTAACCACTAGGCCTCCACTCCCCCATCTCTGCATTTAACCCGTCCCGTTCAGGAGCAGTCTGGGGTTAAGGGTCAGGAACCCAGAGTGGAGGTTGTGGAGATTGAACCGGGTACTTGCAACCTTTCCAGAGCAAAAGCGCACTGCTCTAACCCACTGGGCCAACACTCCTCTTGCTAGGGTACAAATAGTCAAAATTTCTTCTTAAGTAAAGTAACAACTTACAAATACGTTTACTTTTTACTTGACAGCACTGGATGTAGGAAACATGAATAGGGATTATTCAGGATTAGGAATTACAGTTAATTTTGACATGATGTAAGCTAATGATAATGTTATACAACAGCAGAGTTATATGAAAGCATCTGATGCATGTCCAAAAGCATATGCTAACATGTTGAATCATACCAAAGTGACTAAGACAAAATGCAAACAGTGTCACCCCCTAAAGTCAGTGTGTTAGACTTCAACTGTTACATTTTTTGAGTGATTGAGAGAGTATTTTTAAAAATATGGGAACACATGGTGCACATGATTCACAGCAATTTATCTATTTATTTTTTGTATTAAACAATTTGTTTTTACTAAGGTATACAAAGCATGCCAAAGTTTCTACCCATGCATTATATGTTTTTGTTACTTCACATTTTGACCATATCATCTAGACTTTGCATTTGGCAATGTTTCTGATATTCTCCAGTTGTTGTAAGTTCATACTATGCCTGTGAAAACTGTAGATATTTGGGGGCAATAGTTGTGTCAGGTTCAGAGTCACTGAAATTCCCTCTCATCAGTTTGGTTCTCAATATAAAGTCATCTTCAACGCATCAGTATTCCTAAATCCATTTATTTGTCTCAGAGAGACAAACTTGTTATTTCTGTTAACAGACAATCAAACTAGTGTGTGTCTAACTAAGTGACTGAGGTAATATTTGGAAGATAATTTGTCCATATACACATAATTCTGTAGTATTATATGGTGTGCTTTGTGCTTGTTTTTTTAGGAATACCCAACTTCATCAGCAGAGGTTTGCAGAAGGTCTCTGAGTTAGAATCCCTGGTCAAGAAGATTATCAACAATGAGAGGCAACTAGAGTCCAAGTTACATTTTATAACGATGGCCAACCTATTGAAATATCCAGCACCAGACACATCAAGTGCCCTACCAGGTAAAGCTGGAAGTTTGTATTATTTACGGTACAAAAAAAGGCCTTTGGGAATATTGAAATTCATATAGTTTAATTTGCTTTAAAATTTTTATTTTGCTTTAAAAGGTCCTAAGGAGTTCTGTGGACGTATTGCAGAAGAGCGGGTCAAAACATTGGCCTTACTTCTTGATACATACACTGAAATCGGGATCCTCATCACTCAGACAGAATTTTATATCCTTGAAACCAGCAGCGGAAAAGCTGCATGTATGGCAAGTTACTACATGCACTGGGAGCAGAAAGTGTTTGAATCTCTGATAAAGATGGTGCTGAGGTATAGTACCCTGAAATTAATTTTTTTGTCAAAGCCTCCTTTTCTGTTTAGTTGTTCTGTCTTTCATGTTGGATTTCCTTTAAGGAGTCTGAAAGAGTTTGACGTGGCACTGATGGGGAAAACACCTTTGTTCCAAATTGACGCCATTCTGTCGGTCCCCGAGATTGAGTTACAGCCCCAAAGTAATAAGATCTACTCACTGATCATGCAGTCCATCAGGGAATGCATAGAGAGCACTAAAGTAAGACCATCACAAATCTTTAAGCATTTAGTCATTTAGAAAGATAATATCTGCAGTTTACACCACACTGTGTCTAAACTTACTGCGTCCTTCCCCTCTTAAGGGGTTTACACGCTGGATTCAGAGGACCTGCATCAAATGCCCACCACAACAAGTGGATGGTGAGCAGGAGATGGTAACTTTCTCCTTCCTCAGTGATGTCTGGGTGGACTCTTCCATAATTGAGACTGCTAAGACTGTTTCTGAAAACATCAAGGGGCTGCTTCTGTCTCTGGATCAGCACCTTAACAGCTGGAAACAGTATCGACCTCTTTGGGAATTAAACAAAACCCTCGTCAATGAAACATTTGCTGCAAAGAACCCATCCTGTACTATGTATGACGATAAGCTACAGTTTTTTGCTCACATAAAACAGAAGGTTATGCAGGAACCTGGATCCATAACCAAAAACAGCATCTATCTGAACTTTAAACCTCTGGTGACCACAATTAAGGACTTTGCAGACTCCTGGATCACTTCTCTTGGTAGCTTGCTAAACAAACCTGCCAAAGACGATGTTTTCAACTTGAAGGACCAACTCATGGTACAAAAAGATTAACACACTCAAACTTTTTATGGTAAAAGTCGTTTGGTCTAATTTGCATCCACTGTCTGTGCCAAAAAAACAGCAACTCGATACGAAGCTGAAGAGAAGCATTGGCACATTTGATGACCTCAAGGTTGTTTTATCGACCATTTCAGACATCAGTGACATGTCTCTAGATGTGGAAATCAGATTAACTGATATCGAGGAAAGGTACAGAACTTTGGCCCAGCACAATGTGAAGGTAATGTCTCAGATGTTCATTTCTTATTTAGGAAACTATTGTTGTAGATTTGTAAAACTGTGGATTTCTGTATTCTAGGTTGGCGATGATGAAAAGGAACTAGTGGCCAAAATTGGAAACATGTGGAATGATCTGTTAGCAGAGTCTAGAGAGGTAGATCAAAGTCTACTAGATGTCAAAAAGTCATTTGCGGAGGTAGGACCCACAAAGATTAAACAAAATTGCATAAAGATTTGACGGAGTTTTTTCCAGATAAATTCATACTGTGTAAAGTTGTTACATTTTTTATTTAATATACAACAGGTAAAATAAGTATTGAATAAGCCACCATTGGCATTATATGGAAATGCTAAGATTGCGCTTCATACGGCAAGGTCAGGCAGGTTTATTTGTATAGCACAATTCAGTACATGGACAATTGAAAGTGCTTTACATGAATAAGGTAATAAGATATAATACAAATAAAAGCAGAACAAAAGCAAATAAAGACAAATCACATGTGAACCAAAAAAAAGAGTGGGACCACAACCTTATAATAATAATACATCAGCTAACAGTTTACCTTCAACAGTCAAAGGCAGTTCTGAACAAATGGGTTTTTAACTTTGACTTAAAAGAAGTTAGGCTATTAGCTCTTTTACATTCTTCTTGGAGTTTGTTCCAGATAAGTGGAGCATAGGAACTAAACGCTTCTGCTCCTTGTTTGGTTCTAGTTCTGGGTGTACAGATTAGGCTTGAACTAGAAGACCTGATGGTCTGGGATGTTGACACACTTGATACTCTTAAAGTTGATGCATGTTGCACTAGCGTCACTAACTTTGATTCTGTTATTCTTTTTAAAAACAAGTTCAGCTTCTCTGTTTGTGGATCAGAGTTTCTGGTGTTATATGCTGTGCAGCTAGAAGGATTTTGACCAGTTTCTTGTTAGTTTCCGATATTTGTTAAAATGCGTAATTATAGCAATCATAACAAGTCGGTTTTCACACTAGGGTGCAGCTCTTTAACATATTAAAAGCAGAAATAATATGTTAACTACTTCTACAAATACTAGCTGAGTTGAAAAGCAGCTGCCAAGTATGTAGAACAGTGAGGAGAAGAGAGAGGAGCAGTTTATGGCAATGCAGTAATATTAATTTTACTGAAACATGGCTGCAGGATCATATAACCCCGATTCGAGGGACACTCTGCCAGGATTTTTTTACGCAGACCAGCAGATAGGGATTTAAAGAAAACTCAAGTTAGGTGGGTTGGCTGTGCTTGCGAATAGCAAATGGCATAATTTAAGACATTTTACAGTGAGTCTGTTGTGGAGAGTGGGATCTCTTCTTCATGATCTGCTGGAAATCTCATCTAAATCTCTGGAGATGATTTCACAAATAATTATTCATAAATTAGAGTAGTATGGGCAACAGTGAGCATCCTCTACAGAAGACTGTTAGGATGGCTTGGACCTCGAGGGTTGAAGGTCCTGCCATTTTTAGATGTCTCTAGATTCTGCACAGCCAAAAAATTATGAGGTACGACATTTCTTTTTGGGGCTATTAAAGTACTGTTGAATGTGTTAAATTGCCTCAAAGGGGAAAAAGCTCAAGGAGTATGAAAACTTATGCCAAATGCTGTATTTTGTCTGACTTTTACATTATCCTTCACACACACATCATGTGGTCTTTGTCTTACTTTTAAAGATAATAAAGACAAAGATTGAGGAGTATAAACAAGAATTGGCTATTTTTGCTGAAAGCTTCAACATGCATGGCCCTGGAGCTGTGGGAGATAACTTGGATAAAGGTAATTTGTCTATTTATCATTTTAGCAGCAACATTGTAATGTCTGTTTTAACAAAACGTGCACTGCTGCTGTTTCCAGGACTAAGAGTAATGGCTAAATATGAGGCGGACTTTGCCAGAATGGAGCTAGAACGGCAGGATCTCAAGAGCAGTGAGAAGCTGTTGGATCTACCCATCTCCATGCACCCAGAGGCTACCAGGATTCAGAAAGACATGATGGCATTGAGACAGATATACGATATCTATGCAGACCAAAAGGTGGGATAGATTCATCATTGAGGAATAGCTGAAATTCTGGAAATGCTTACATTTGTCAAGTTGCTCATAAGATTATCTTTTTTTAGAATGCAAAAGCAGAGTGGTCCCAGATATTGTGGGTAGATTTGGACATCCAAGTGCTCCAGGATGGCATAGACTCGTTCCTCAAAAGATTCAGACAGCTGCCCAAAGACGTGAGGGCTTTACCTGTGGCCTTCTATCTAGACGGATGCATGAGGGAGTTCAAAGAATCTCTGCCCCTTTTACTGGACCTGAAGAACGAGGCCCTTAGAGACAGGTAATTCTGAACTTTAGGTGGGCTAATTGTAAAGATGCAAAAACACTTTTCCTATTTTTCCTTTATTCCTACTTGAGCCTCACACACAGCTAGCAAGAAAATCAAAAACAGGAAACAAAACTCGCAATTTGCCCATTCCTTTCAAGAGGAGGTTAACATTAATGATTTAGTGTTCTACTTAATTGCATCACATTTAATTTCTTTAGACAAAATATTTAGTGCTGCACAGTGTGCAGTGGGTTGCTCTGCTGCCTTGCTGCAAGAAGGTTCCGGGTTTGATTTCTGGCCCGGGGTCTTTCTGCATGGAGTTTGCATGTTCTTTCTGTGCATCCGTGGGTTCTCTCAAATTCTCCGGCTTCCTCCCAACGTCCAAAAGAAACATGGCAGTTAGGTTCTATAAAAGATTTTACTTAGGTGTGAGTGTGTGCATGAATGGTTGCCTTTCCTGTTTGTCTCGACCTGTGCAGGGTGTACCTCGCCTCTCACCCATTGACGGCTGCTTCCTGGCACCAGCAACCTTTGCGACCCCAGCTCCTGAATGACAAGCGTGATAAAAAATCAATAGGTGGATGGAAAATATTCAGTCACATTCAATAAATGAAGTATATTCAAATGTTAATTTGTTTTAGCTTCCAAGTTCACTTGGTGAAACATATTGAACACAGAGAGAGATTTTTCAAGTAAGTTTAAAGATGGTTGTAGGTGATAACTTAATATATACTTTTAACATTACTATATGGCCCATTTACTGATTTAGTGCGTAATAAAAAAAAAAAAATTCAGATGTTTAGAGGACTGCGGCAACCAGCAGACCTCCGAGGCTAACCGCAGCCAGGGCTAACGTTAGCCCGTCTGCAGCAGCCCTCTCTCAGCATAGCCGTGTGTGAAGTACCGCTGGCTCTGATGGCGATTTTATGGGGTTTTATTTGGCAAAAAGTTCATTTAATTTGTATTTATCTGACTATTATTATTCCTCCACTAAATGAAGAAAGTAAGAATGTATTATTATCTAAAGACTATTAATAAGGTGGTGAAATGCAGCTCTAGACAAGCCGAGTGTGTGGGGACATCATGAGTACGCTTCTGTTCCAATTGATGTTCTTGCTGCGTGCTCCCGTTCTCCACCGAGTCCATACTTTCCTGTGTTCCTCTCAAGAACATACTTGGCAAGGACACAGATCCGTACTCGTGTTCTTGTAAATGGAGAAACAGCAACATTCTGTTTGTTGATTTAAACCTCACAGCATATGAGAAGGAGATATGTTTATGATGGATGAAACAACATGGTAGTTTTTTGTCTTACAGGCACTGGAAGGCGTTAACGGAAGGAACTGGTACCAGCTTTGAGAAGAATATGAAGACCTTCACTTTAGAGGACATGTTTTCTATGGAGCTGCACAAATATGGAAATGTCGTAGGAGACATAGTCACCTCTGCTGTAAAAGAGCTGAATATTGAGAAGGCAAGGTTTTGCTTGCATATTTGAATTCAATTCAGTTTAACATATCCAGCTGAGCTTAAAAACTTTTCCTGCAACCTTAAACTTAATTCTACTCACTGTGTATATGCCACATTTTATATCTACCTGTTTTCACTTCTTTCTGTTTCTTTGCATTCAGGGGGTGAATGCCATTACAGGGACATGGAAGAAGATGAGTTTTAATGTGCAGAAGTATTTTAGAGGCACTCAGGAGCATGGTTTTATTATAGGTGCTGTAGATGAGATCCTGCTGAATGTTGAGAATGATTTGATAACCTTAAGGAGCATGTCGGCCAGTCGTTTTGTTGGACCATTCCTTGACACTATACAACAATGGGAAAACAATCTGTCACTCATTAGTGAGACAATAGAGGTAGGTGGCTCTTTGCTTTTCTTTCATGTCTTGCTGTGTCACAACCAAACCTTATAATGAAATGATAAGGATTTCTATGACAGACCCACACAAAGGGCTGCTTAGTGGTGCAGTGGGTAGCACAGCTGCCTTGCAGCAAGAAGGTTCTGCATTCGATTTCCCGGCCCGGGGTCTTTCTGCATCGAGTTTGCATGTTCTCACTGAGCATGCATGGGTTCTCTCCGGGTACTCCGGCTTCCTGCACAGTCCAAAAACATGGCTATTAGGTTAATTGGCTTCTCCTTAGATGTGATTGTGTGCATGAATGGTTGTTTGTCCTGTTTGCCTCTGTGTTGCCTACCTGTCCGGGGTGTACCCCTCCTCTCACCCATTGACAGCTGGAGAGAGGCACCAGCACCCCTCGCCACCCTAGCAGGGAAAAAGCATGACAGAAAATGCATGAATGGATGGACCCACACAAAGTACAACATGGTTGTGAAGCTTGAAGGAAAAGATAAATGGTTTTGAAATAGTTTTCCAAACAAAATAAAAGACAAATTTGCAGACTGTAGCTAAAAGTTGTCCTGTAACCAAAGTCTCCCCTTCACTCTGTGGATTCCTCCTGCTACTTCAGAGTCTAGAATTACCCTGGGCCTCTTGTTTGTTTCTTATATTAACACTCACTAAAAAATACTAAAATGAACCATTTCACCTGGTTATATTTAATGTACTTAAATGTCTTTGTGAAACATGCATTCATCCATTTTCTGTCACACTTATCCCTGCTGGGGCCGGAGGGGTGCTGACTATGGGCGAGAGGCAGGGTCCACCCTGGACAGATCGCTAGTCTATCGCAGGCCAAACTTTTTGAAACAATTGTTAATTTTATTTGGAGAATCAGATTTTAAAAAAGCAAATCAGTACATGTGACAATTTTGTTCATTGATGGTTTTGAATCCTTATTTGCCTCCACTTCACGACAATGCACTACTTTCTGTTGTTCGATGCCATAGAAGATCTAAATTATAGCTCTGAGAGTTGTGTTTCTAGTGTCAAAGAAATGAAAAAGGTCAAAGGGTATAGATATTCAATACAAATGCTCTTTATTAATCCCATAAGGGAAACTCATTTACCCTCCGAAAGAACGGGCTGTATCCTTATATGGCACATTATAAATATACCAGCCTTTATCATATCTGCTTAAATGCTTATTGATTAAAAGATCTTCTGATAGGTGTTGCTGACAGTCCAGCGAAAGTGGATATACCTCGAGAGTATATTCATTGGTGGAGAGATTCGCTTGCAGCTACCTGAAGAAGCTGCAAAGTTTGATGATATTGACAAGAAGTTTCAAGAAGTAAGTTTTTAATTTCAATCAAAGCAAAACATATTGTTTATGGACTTTTCCATTTATGATCCTTTTCATTTTTTTTAGATTATATACGAAGCAGCTAAATGTCCAAATATTGAGCACTGCTGCGTGGCTTCTAATTGGCTAACAAAACTACAAGCCTTGATTGATAGTCTAGAGAGGTGCCAGAAGAGCCTTAACGACTACCTGGACTCCAAGCGAAATGCATTCCCGCGTTTCTTCTTCCTCTCTGATGATGAACTGCTCAGTATTCTTGGGAGTAGTGACCCTGCGTGCATCCAGGAACACATGATCAAGGTAAAGAGTTCATTTCAAAAGAAAGGTAAATGATTCTTACTTTTAATATGTCAGGCCATTGTGAATCAACCTTGTTTTTCAATGAGATCGAAGACATGACAGAAGAAAATGTGCTTTCCAGGTTTACCACACATGCATGTTACACCAATGAAGTGAAGAAATCACAAAAGTCACAATCACTAAAAAACCTAAAGACATTAGGGATTCTTATATAGACCTCAATGCAGTAAAATTGAGCAAAAACCATGGTCATGATAATGTCTGATCGTTTAGTCCAGGGGTTCGTGCCCCAGCCCCCGTAATCTGCAATAGGGAATTTAATTTTCAAACTAAAATACAGTTGTAAAAAAAAAAAAGAAAAAAAAAAAAAAAATCTTTAAGAATTTTTTCTTTTAAAAGAAATCCAACCTCAAATCTGTGTGTAGTTGGAAGGCCGATCTTAATGTCTGTTAGTGCCAAACATGTATATTTGCTAAATTTTGTTTAGAGTGGGTTTAAAGTTAAGCCAGACTCACACAAGTATATTATTACAAAGGGGAAAGGGCATTTCTGTCCCATATCAGCTAAGATGGCCTTTCTTACATTGAATAGCCTCAAACTTCAATTTAAATCCCAATGTTTTCTCATGTTAAAGATATATTGAAAGTTACAGTTTATATATCTTATGGAAAGAAAATTCATCATTTTCTAAGGCCCTCATAGCAACTCCCGGTGGCCCCTCTCTTTCAAACCACAGGTGTAGTGATTTCCTGTAACATGAGCTGAGTCTAAGTACAGCTATGATAAGTCAATACTAACAATGATTCTCTAGTTGTTCCTGTCGGTTTTAGCCACTTGAAACTCCTTAGTAGCCCTATTCTCAGCTTCAATTAAAGTTTTACTGAAAAATGTTCTTACTCTGCAATTTTAAGATGGACTGTACATATGCACATCCATATAGTTTGCATTTAATCTAGCTAAATGAGGATGTCTAACTGTTGAATTTTTTTTATAATCATTAATGGTAGTTAAATGCCTAAGCCACATGCAGAAACTCACAAGAAAAAATGAAAAGTCCCAGCAGATGTTCTCGGTTCAGTGTAGAATATAGAGATGTTCCATTTCTCTGATTTTTATAGGGACTGAGGTCACAGAGAGGGAGGTTCAGAAGTGAAACAGAACAACAAACTTCTGGATGAAGTTTCCAGGGGAATGGAGGGTAGACGGGTAGAACTGACGGGTGGAGGATATATGGAGCTGGGAGGAAGCCAGAAGGTTATGGCAGGGATTTGCTTCTCTTTGGAGAGAGATTCAGTAGAGTATCAAGGAGAAAGCTAAGGTAGCGTTAAAAAATAAAACAAAGGACAAGAAACAGGAAATATTCATTTTTGTGGCACTTTCTGAAGAAAAGTATAACGTACTCAGGAAGCCATCATGGACCAGATTAGAATATTGGTCAAACTCCTAGCAAAGACACCTGCATCCAGCTCCTAATATAGAGACATCTGGTGGAAACCGAAATCTATGCAACACAAAACATGAAAACCCCAGAAATCTTACTGCTTTTATCTGAGAATTTCACCTTGGTTAATCCAGTACAACCTCAACTTTTAATCTAAAGAATTCTGAAGCAATAGTATTTAGATAACAGTCTGGTAGCTTGGATTCTGGATAACAGGACACCCCTAAACCACACCATTGAATCACAGTTAGTTTTTCTTTTGACATAAATATGTGCACTACTTAATACTTTAATACTTTTTACCATGTTCATGTTTGGAAAATCCTTTCACTGATGTTTTTTTTATATTTTTTTTTATTCTTTTTTGATTGCGCCAGATGTTTGACAATATAGCTTCACTAAGATTTGAGGTGAGAAGCAGTCAGTCAGTCGTTGCTGCCATGGTGTCAGCTGAGGGTGAGGTGATGGAGTTTAGGAACCCTGTCCCAGTGTTGGGGAGAGTGGAAGAGTGGATGATGGCGGTCCTTCTAGAGATGCAGAGAACTAACAGGCTTATTACCAATGAGGCAATCGTCAACTATTGTAAAGACAGGAGCAGGTGCGTGTGAACACAAAGGCAGCCTTTGCAATTGTACATGAGCAAATACCATGAATGCTTTATTCCTTTACTCATCAGGGTGGAGTGGATGCTCGTGTACCAGGGCATGATGGTGCTAGCTGCAAATCAAGTCTGGTGGACATGCGAGGTTGAAAAGGTCTTTAAAAAGCTGAAGGAAGGTGATAAGAATGCTTTGAAGAACCAGGCTGAAAAGATGCACCACCAGATCGGTGAACTGGTTACACGCATCAATCAGCCTCTAACGAAAAATAACAGGCGGAAGATCAACACTGTGCTCATCATTGATGTCCATGCCAGAGATATTGTGGAAAGTTTTGTAGGGTGAGTGTACACAGTTTTATCTTTCAATTTTTAATTTTTAATTGTTTAACATGAAAATCGCAAGATTACTTTAACCATATCAATCTTTTGCAGAATCATGGATGCACAAGCGTTTGAGTGGGAAAGCCAGCTAAGGTTCTACTGGATGCGGGGAAGTGTGTTTGTGCATCAGTGCAGTGCCTCATTCTCTTACGGCTATGAGTACATGGGGCTGAATGGTCGGCTGGTTATAACCCCACTAACAGACAGGATCTACCTGACCTTTACTCAGGTCTAAGAGACAACACTAAAACCAGGGGTGTCTAAAGTGCACCACAGGGTCATTTGTGAACAAAATTCAAATAATTATGTATTTAGATTTATTTTTTCTTACAGTAGAACAGCTTTTGCATTTTTCATAAAGAGATTACATTTTGTGATGCCCATCAGCCTTCGGCTTTAGAGTTTTGGCCCCTGCGGCAAAACATTTAGACACCCCTGAAACTAACATTACACATAAAGTTCATAGATTTTCTTCAGCTCTTTAAGACTTGTGCATATGTTAAACAGGCTCTCTCGATGTACTTGGGCGGAGCTTCTGCTGGACCGGCTGGTACAGGAAAAACAGAATCCATTAAAGATCTGGCTAAGGCTTTAGGCTTGCTCTGTGTGGTTACAAACTGTGGTGAGGGCATGGACTACAGGGTAGGAAGCACACACCAAGTGGCATGACCTCATTTTATCTTTTAACAGGATGTTTTTTGTACTACAAATAAATCACTGTATTTTAATGCCTTTCTTCTTTGTGTGCAGGCGGTTGGGAAGATCTTTTCCGGCCTTGCACAGTGCGGCGCTTGGGGTTGCTTTGATGAGTTCAATCGTATAGATGCCTCTGTGTTGTCAGTGCTCTCTTCTCAAATGCAGACCATACGCAACGCTCTCATCTCAAACAGTAAAAGGTTTAAGGTAAAATGTCATAATTCAATGTTTATTAGTCTGCAGATTATTTACAAAGTATATACGCATTCATAACTCTTTAGCTTCATAACATAACAGTACATAACTTGAATGCAGGAATCTTCATCCGTTATGTCAGGTCGCACTAAATCAATCAACAGATGGAGCACTGATGACCCATCCATCCCCATACGTGTGGAAAATCACAGGCGCTCTAATACCTCTACATTAAATCCAGTGAAACGGAATATCCTTAGAAGTCAACCCTAATTAGTAAAAACAGTCAACCTGTGTTTACTCTAATATTAGTGAAGCTGTTCTGCAAACGCCTCGGAGAGTTTATTTTTTTTCGACAGCACGAGTGAACAGACATCATGCATATTAAGGAACGCGACAAATAGGTCAGGCAGAAAGTTGTAGAGAAATTTAAAGCAGAAAAAAACTATTCTGACTGCATTTTCTTTTTGCAGGAAAATATGTGATTCCAAACTTTAAACAACAAAAACTATTTGGACAGGGAGGGAAATCTTTAGGAGACAAAAAACAAATATATTGTGTATTTCAAAAATCCTTTGTATCCGCGAGAATTAACATTTCCCATAACTTTGAACACAACTCCCATGGTGAAACATGGTAGCTGGCATCATGTTGTGGGGATCTTTCTTCAACAGAAAATGAAGACAACGTATTGGACAACAACCTGGAAGAAAAACGGCTTCAAGGCCTGTAGACTAAGAAGGAGGTTAATTATCCGCCCATCCGTTTACAGCATAAGCTTCTATAAAATGGATTAGATTGAAACAAATTCATGTTTTAGAATAACCAATAATCTAGACATAAATCCAATTTTAATTATTTTGTAAGACTTTAGAAATTGATGATCTGTGGCTCCTCTTCCAGTCTGAATCGGTTTAAAGTATTTTGCATTAAACAAATAAAAAAAAAAAGTCAAGTAAGTAGATATAATGGAATTTATTGCATCTTTTACAGAATTCTTTTTTGTAAAAAGCTTTTACAGCCATTTGTCTTTCTTCACAATTATGTGCTCCAATATGTCATACAACGTTCCAAATACAGTACCTTTAATATTCGAGATTTACTGTATTAAAATGGGAAAATGTCAAATGCTTTATCAGTAATTTAGCAAAAATTATAAAAGTCATTTTGCCATGATTTTGCACATACTTTTTGTATTCAGCATCTAAAATAAGTTTTCACAGGTTTTAAGAACTTTGTTCTGATCTCATTCTGCAGTTCCAGGGGGAAATGATCAACTTGGATAACCGCATGGGCATCTTTATCACAATGAACCCTGGTTACGCAGGACGGACAGAGCTCCCAGAATCAGTCAAAGCTCTCTTCAGGCCTGTAGTTGTGATTGTACCTGACCTACAGCAGATCTGTGAGATAATGCTGTTTTCTGAAGGATTTCTTATGGCCAAGGTAACCAAAAACAATTCTTATGATGTAGTTGCTCCTGTAAAGAATGGCTGACATTAGTGACGTCCCATGTGTGGATTGTAAGCTTATAATAGTCAAAAATGCTTAACAATATATTCTTTTCATTAGTAGTTGTTGATTGTTTATTTTAGGTGCTTGCAAAGAAGATGACGGTGCTGTATAAGCTGTCTCGTGAGCAACTATCTAAGCAGTCTCATTATGATTTCGGCCTACGTGCTCTAAAGTCTGTGCTGGTGATGGCAGGGGAGCTAAAGAGAAGCTCACCTGACCTAAAGGAGGTTAGTGTGACGGTTGTGTGTGTTCAAAAATAAGAATAATGCTGCTTTTATAAAAAAATAATTTAAAATTGCATGAGAAAAATATGTATTCATTTTCAGTAATTTGTAGAATATCTTAATGTACTCAGGGTATGAATAATTAGGGTTTGATCAAAACTAAAACTGATTGGATTTGTCTTTCTAATTTTACTAATGGCTGATGTGATCTAAATATTCTTACTCAGCATCATTTGAAAATGAATCAATTGCAGAGATGCACACAAAGATAATTGAAAGTAAATATTGGGTTAATATTTAATTGAATATAAAAGTTAAAGTTAAACAGTCTAAAAATGGATCATTATTTCTTTTAGCTTAGAGGCTTTTTCAGCTATTTAGGTACTTTAGTTAGTTAATTATTTCAGCTATTTTAGTTTTAATAATAAAAATAATAATAAACAATTGAACTTTATTGATCTCACATTGGAGAAATTTACCTCTGCATTTAACCCATCCCCTTGGGGAGCAGTGGGCTGCCATCTTGGAGCGCCCGAGGAGCAACCGGAGAAAAGGGTTTTGCTCAGAGAGCCAGAGTGGCAGTCTGTGGGAGTGGGGCTCAAACTCAGAGCGTCAGGATTCCAAGCTCTATGCACTAACCACTAGGCTGCCACTCCGCCTTTCTTTTCTTAGTTAATATTTTTGATTTTTTTGTTGTTTTTAAACAGGATGTAGTGTTGATGCGTGCTCTCAGGGACATGAACCTGCCAAAGTTTGTTTTTGAGGACGTCCCTCTGTTCCTTGGGCTGATCTCTGACCTTTTCCCTGGACTCGACTGTCCTCCTGTTCGCCATCCTAATTTTAATGATGCTGTTGAGAAGACACTGGAGGAGAACAAATATATCATCCTGCCTCAACAGGTTTTTTTATCTTAACCACAACATCAATTTCTTTAACTCCATAACAGCGATGTTTCCTCCAAAGACATAGTATTAGAACACGGATTTAATACTTTTATCCTATTCCTGATAGGTGGATAAAGTGGTACAGATGTATGAGACAATGATGACCAGGCACACTACTATGATTGTCGGCCCCACTGGTGGTGGAAAATCTGTTGTGATCAACACCCTATGTCAAGCTCAGACCAAGTGTGTGTCAGTTTATTTTGTCCATTTCACACTCTCTTGATTTTAAACATTAACCTTCTGTTTCATCTCTTAATTAGAATGGGCCTGCAAACCAAGCTGTATCCGCTGAACCCTAAAGCCATGGACGTCAATGAACTCTATGGAGTTCTTGACCCAGACACTCGAGACTGGACGGATGGGATTTTATCCAACATCTTTCGGAAAATCAACAAACCTACAGAGAAAAGCGATCGACGGTAAGTGTATGCAACGTTAATAAATATTTCTATTTTATTTTTTAAACAAATTCAATTCAGTTTATTTGTTTAGAGCCAAATCTCAACATGTCAACACAAATCAGGTAACAAGGATATTTCAAATCATCTTCCCATCCTCTCTGACCAGCTTCCAGTCTGACCATGAGAGTATAGAGGATGCTTTTGCATGCAGGCAAAAAGCGTTCTGCTGTCATTTAAGCTGAGTTTCCATCCTCCACATTTGTGTATTGTCCTCTTCACTACTTCATAGCGAGCAAGAAATTGATCCTGTTATTTGTGAAGTCAGACCAAACTGCTATAAGCAGTCATTTAGAAAAGGCTTTGCAAAAAGTTGCTTTGTCACCCGATTCCTCTTTAAGATCTTGGATGTAGTTTAGCTCATTCAGTTTTATACTTGCAATAAATAAATGCACCATGAAATAAGTAGGTAGACAACATTTATTTGTTTATCTGATGTGTGATTCAAAAAGGAAATATACCAATAAATTGTAAAATACACAAATAAATGATTAAATTTCCCATTAAATAATTAGAAATACTTTTAAAATTATTAATTAACTAACAGAGAAAATTTTATAAATACAGTATTTAAGAATAAAATATAATATGATAAAACGAACATAATGATATAATATAATTAAACTTATTTAAAAAAGGAATATACTTATTTTATTTCATGTGTATTAATAGAGTGAAGTATTTTTAGGGGGTCTTGTGTCTGTTGCATCGTTATTTTTGGGGTCACAGGGTGAAATGTTTGGAAACACAAAATAAGATTCAAATAAATTACTCTGAGGACTGTTTTTGACAAAAGATGATGAACTAAAAAAAAAACATATTCTGTTGCAAGTCTTACTATTCAGGAGTGGCAAGCAAACAGGAACAAGAGTGAAAACCTTGTAAAAACCTGCAGCTTTCTCAATCATTTCCGCCTCTTTTATAATGTTTCCTAATGGAAGGAGCTAGGTCTAATCCTAGAGCATATTTACAAAAAAAAGAATTCAATTCATTTACTATTTAATTTTTTTCAGTCAATGTTGTTTCTTCCTTATTTTAATTTTTTGCAGGACAAATACTTTTTCCACAGTTCACTATTAAATGGATTCAACTAAATCTGAAACACTTTTTAAATGTATCTGAAACACTTTTTATGCCATTGCATTGTTCTTCCAGGTACATCCTGTTTGATGGGGACGTGGACGCCCTCTGGGTTGAAAACATGAACTCAGTAATGGATGACAACAAGCTCCTCACATTAGCTAATGGAGAACGTATTCGCTTGCAGAGTCATTGTGCACTGCTGTTTGAGGTCTGTCTCTATCTAAATGCTGCTGCCAGCAGAATACAGATTTTTCCTGGTTCTGCAATAGAAACCAACATTTGATGTTCTAATAACCCCCCCTTCCTCAGGTTGGTGATTTGCAGTATGCTTCCCCTGCTACTGTGTCTCGGTGTGGGATGGTTTTTGTTGACCCAAAAAACTTGCGATATACCCCATACTGGCAAAGATGGGTGACCAGCAGACCAGAGGTGTGTAAAATAATGTTTTAAGTGTTACATTTAGTCTTCATTATATAATTTTGCTAATAATTCTATGTATTTCTCAGGAACAAGAGGTTCTGAATCGACTGTTTGAGAAATATGTGCACAACTGTATTGACATGATTGTAGATGGCTTAGTTGATGGTAAACAAGGAGAGAAACTGGAAACTGTTGTCCCTCAGACAGACCTGAACATGGTAGGTTGAATTCTCCTCAAATGTTGGATGAATTTCAAAACAGTATATGAAACATTTGACCAATTTTGTTCATGTGTTCAGGTCACCCAGCTGTGCTTTACGTTGGATGCACTGCTGGAGAAAGACAACAGCACAGAAGATGTCCTGGAGTGTTACTTCCTGGAGGCTCTCTACTGCTCACTGGGAGCCGCACTGGTGGAAAGTGCTCGTATCAAGTTTGACGAGTTCATCAAAAGACTCTCCTGCTTTACCATCGTGCATGAAGAAAAAGCCTTGGCCGGGCCTGGTGAGATCCCAGGTTAGTATTCTTTATTTTGCTTTGAATAGAAACATAATATGACACCGAACTATTCACATATAAATAAAATGATGTCTTCATGCAGGATACCTCCCAACCCTGTTTGATTTCCATTTTGATGGAACTCAGCAAAAGTGGGTTCCCTGGAGCTCCCTAGTGGCAAAATACACTCACAACCCTGAAACAAAGTTTGCTGATATCCTAGGTAACATTTGTTTGTCTGAGCTGCATCTACAGATGCATTAAAAAAAAAAGCTCTTTTTCTCTAGAGTCTCTCTGTATATATATTAATCTTGACTCAGATATTTCTTATATTCAGTGCCAACTGTTGAGACGACCAGAGCAAGCTGGATTTTGGAACAGATGGTGAAGATAGAGAGACCAGTGTTACTTGTTGGAGAATCTGGCACTTCCAAGACTGCCACCATCCTTAACTTTCTGAAGAATGTTGATTCCGATAGATGGGTAATTTTGGCTTTACCGAAAAACTATTCACACACAGTACTCCTTCTCACGTTACAACCACCATCTTTAATATATTTTAGTCAGCTTTTATTAAATAGAGCCACATGAAATGGAACTTAATGTAAAATTTCCATTTAGCTCTGGTGATTTCTACACTGGCATCCATTCAATGTGCTGAAATGTTTTAGCAGGACAAAGCTAGCGCTACAGAACCTAGCAAACATCATCTACCCAGCATGCATTGCAGAGTAAACAACATGGCAAAAACCATGTGGCAATATCTAAATTTTTTTTAAATTGAACAGCTTATAATAGTTTTACTGTATTATATTTACATCAAAATTAACATTTCTCAAATAAAGCCTATTGTTACACCCAACCATGCTCTCTTTGGCCAATCTACAGTAGTAGCCATTCAAAGTTTCCCCACTTTCCTTAATGGGACCTTGGGTGGTCCCCTAAAATTCCCTTTTAAACATCAATATTTGTTTTAAAATATTCTTTATGTCACGACTTGTTCACATGAAGATCTAAAGAAAAGCATCATCTCCTAGTCAGACCCTGTAATTCAGTGAAAGGTTGAGTCAGAGTAGAAAGATATGCAAAAGGGGGTCAGTCCAGTGGCTGGAAGTTGGAGGGGATTTTGCTTGGAGTTGCAGGGAAGTGGACTGCTATTTAGCTGATGTTTGACTGGGAAGGGCCATTTTGAATGCCTGCTACTGTATTAGTTTACACAAGCAGCCATATTCTAGTAAATTTGCAGTAAAGCCACTGCATTTTTGGATGACATATAAAAACTTGCTCCGATTTTCATAGCTTGCAACTTTGTCTTATAACCTAACTGCTATAAACTGCTCTGCAGCGTCATGCCTTATGTCTGCTGGCCTTCAACACGCTGTCTTTTAACTAATGTTGTCCAACAAAACTCAGAGGCTTTCATAAATTAACGGTTATACTAAAAATGTATTCCTAACAAAGAGGAACTCTATTTAGAAATGAGGTAAACTGTGATGGAAATTAGTCATACTGGATTTTATTAAGGGCCATTAATGTAAATTGGAATGATACAAACACACAGTGTCATTACATTACTTAAGTAGAAATTTTGGCTATCTATACTTAACTGGAGTAAGTATTTTTTACGCAAATTTTACTTCTACTTCTTATGTTTTTTGCAATTATCTCTATTTTCTACTCCTTCCATTTCCGAAATAGACTTGTTAGTTTTATTTGATTTAAGCAAATTTTTGTAATGGCCTGTTGGTATTTAAAAAAAAACAAACAATTAAAAACCTCATAATTTTGCTGCAACAACTTGTTGTTCAACGTATATCATAATATATAGTTTTTCCAAATGATTCAAAGTTAAATATGACTCTCTATCCATTAATTATTAAACTAAGACAATTAACTATAAGGAGATTATCATACAGAATTGTCAAAGAATTTTCCTTTAATAAAGTAGTGCAGTAAAGCTTATTTCCTGAGCATTTTTTCCTGCATTACTTTTACTTTTATACTTTATGTACACTCTTAGTTGAATAAAAAGTTGATACTCTAACTTCTACAAAAGTGTTTTTAAACAGTATGATTTATACTTCTACTTGAGTAAGAAACATTTATACGTTTGACACCTCTGCAAATACAGCACACACAATTTAGATTTATTCTTTTGTTTGTTTTGCTTAGTGTTAAAAAACATGAAACTCCTACTTGACATGAATTGTCATTGAAATTTGAGGTTTTCAAGTGATTTGATATGAAAACATTGAAGTGATAGAAAAACATTTGCATGGTTTTGGATACGTACCTTGATCCTGAATAACTTTAAGTCTTATTTCTGTATAGATCAATCTGAATATCAACTTCTCATCAAGAACAACTTCAATGGACGTGCAGAGAAACTTTGAGGTTAATGTGGAGAAAAGGAGCAGAGACATATATGGGCCTACAATGGGGAAGAGACTGCTGATATTTATTGATGACATGAATATACCAAAGGTACCCGCACCAAAAGCCTGTTAAATATGTTTTTTATTAACCTGGTGATGAAACTGGTGTGATCATCCTATTTTACTGCCCAGGTGGATACTTATGGGACACAACAGCCTATTGCATTTCTAAAGCTGCTATTAGACCGAGGCGGACTTTATGACAGAGGAAAGGAACTCAACTACAAATTCCTTAAAGACCTCATCTTTATTGCTGCCATGGGGAAGGCAGGAGGTGGTAGGAATGAGGTGGATCCACGCTTCATCTCACTCTTTAGTGTTTTCAGCAGTCCCTTTCCCACTATGGAGTCGCTCCACCTTATCTATGCCTCTATTATCAAGGGCCACACCAAAGTAAGTTACTGTTTAACACATAAAATTTCATGCTGTTATTTTATAACAAACCTGATTTTTTTGTGTTTTTTTTTTAGCTGTTTGAGACAGGTATTAGGATGGTGTGTGATACAGTCACAGAATGCACCCTAGAACTTTACAAACACATCACCAAAGACCTTCCCCCGACTCCATCCAAATTCCACTACATCTTCAACCTGAGGGACTTATCCAGAGTCTACAATGGACTGATCCTCACCAAACCAGACAAGTCTGACCTACTTTATTTTCTCTGATAACAGATTTAAGGAAAATCTGCCTTTTTTCCAATAATTTCCTGCTTTTCTTGCAGTTTTTTGACTGTCAGCCAGTTTGTGCGTGTCTGGCGAAATGAGTGTTTGAGAGTCTTCCATGACAGACTTATTGATGAAACTGACAAAACGTTGGTAGGTTAATTAACAATAGTTTTGACTGTCAATTGTGAGTTAGCGTGTTGAGAAAAAAAAATTTAGACCCAAACTTTTCTGTGTTTTAAAATGTATTCGTTTTATTTCACCAAAAGGTCCAAAGTCACATAAAGAAGCTGGTTGAAGACCACTTTACGTCAGAAATGGAGGAAGTGATGAGGGACCCAATACTTTATGCCGACTACAGGACAGCTCTGAGTGAATCGGAACCAAGAGTTTATGAAGAACTCCAAGACTATGAATGCTCGAAAGCAATACTTGAGGCAAGTTCACTGATATCAGTGGGAGTGGTAGGCTGTGCCTGAAGTCTGAACATCTAATATTGTATTTATCCAGGACTTTTGAGCATATTTACCCACTATTTCTCCTTCCAATCCATAGTTAATACTTGAGGAATACAATGAGAAGAAGCCAAGAATGAAACTAGTCCTGTTTGATGATGCTCTGGAACATCTGACCCGGGTTCACCGCATCATCCGCATCGATCGGGGCCACGCACTGCTTGTTGGAGTTGGAGGCTCTGGCAAACAGTCCCTTACCAAACTTGCTGCTTTCACTGCTGGCTGTGAGGTAGAGAAACATTTTTTTTTTTTTTTACCAGTGATCAAACGCATATAAGCTAAAATGTATAAATAGAAATCTATGCAAACTAAAATACTATTAAGAAAGTTAAAATCTACATGATGTACATGTTAAAGCCGTAGGGAATAGACCGTCCCAACTGTTTCCGAAGTCTCCAGAGAGATGTACGACATTACATAAAAATAATAAAGTGAATGTGATTGGTTGTTTATCAAGAGGGCGGGATCCCAACAAGATTTTATTTAGGGGTATTAAAGTAAATGGGTTCACATGTCCTTTAGCTTTCAATTTACCAGTTTTCTTGTACAATAATAAAAAAAAAGATCATTGAGGCAACAAACCGTATATATGTCTAAAGGGAAGGAATATGATTGCAAGAAGGAACACCTATTCAATTATTCAAATTAAGAGCAATTTCAGTGTTGCACATAAAGCAGAAGGAAATGATGTGATTGCTTATAGTAAGAGAAAATTGTCATTGTCAGGTGTTTGAGATAACTCTAAGCAGAGGATATAATGAGTCCAACTTCCGTGAGGATTTGAAAACCCTCTACTTAAAGCTTGGAATTGAAAACAAGAAGATGGTTTTCCTCTTTACGGATGCCCATGTTGCTGAGGAAGGCTTCCTGGAACTAATTAACAACATGCTCACATCAGGTTAGATATGTCACTCTGGCCATTACAGAACATAATCCATCTACAGAAACAGAACAGTCACTAATTATTCAGCCTCTTTTTAGGCATAGTTCCTGCTTTGTTCCCCGATGATGAGAAGGAGTCTATTCTCAATGAGCTTCGTGATGAGGCTCTGAAAATGGGAGCAGGTCCCTCCAAACAGAGTTTATGGCAGTACTTTGTCAATAAGAGTGCTAGTAATCTGCATGTGGTCCTATGCATGTCTCCAGTTGGAGACACCTTGAGGACACGCTGCAGGAACTTTCCAGGTGAAATTACACTTCCCTTAATTCTCTGAATAGCTTTCATCTATTCTGACCTACTAATGATGTTTATTTTCTTCTAAGGACTGATGAACAACACTGTGATAGACTGGTTCCTGCCATGGCCTCCACAAGCACTAGAAGCAGTGGCACACTTTTTCATTGGTCTGTTATTTCTCATCATTATTTTATGGATCATTCTGGTGCTGGAAAAATATGTTCAAAATATTTTAGTTATATTCCAAATTATTTCTTATTTAGAAATTTGAATTTACTAAATGTTTTTTTTTCTTATGGTTATTTAATTTCATGGTCTTTTTTATTAAACAAAATGTCCAAGGAAAATACAGTACAAAGGTTTCAATAATTTTTATTGTTAGCACTTTTTTGCAATTCCTTGTAAATAATAAACAAATAGGGAGCTACCAAATAAATAAACTAGAGAAAAAAAACCTTAAAGTGTAAAATCTATATTAAAAAAGACATGCAAAAGAAGTACACAAAAATCAACACACTTAAACAGAGATTTAGATTAATCAATCAATCAATCAATCAAAAAATTCTCAATAGATGAGTTGATTACTAAAATAACTGATAAGTGCAGCCATATACTCACTTTAAGAAAACTGAGCGCAGAACAGCTGAGTGATAAGCCAAACTCTGCCGAGGAATAATACTGGAATTATAAAGTCAAGCATAAATAGACGACACAGTAGAAAGCACAGGGAAGAGTGTGAAGTCTGCATTCTGCAGCTTTAGTTCAGGATGGAGATTCATAGGAGTTAATGTATGCCTAAAAGTTGCAAAGACAATCAGTGGTTTAAATGCTTTTTGGATGTTTTGTTGATTTTACAGTAGTAGCCATTCAAAATGTCCTCACTTTCCTTGCTGGTCCCCTACAATTCCTTTTTAAACACCAATCTTTGTAGTAAAATATTCTTTCCATCCTGATTTGACATTAATATCTAAAGTGAAGTGTCATCTCCTGGTCAGACCCTGTAATTCAGTGAAAGGGTAAGTCAGAGTAAAAAATATGCACGTCCAGGAGAGGGAGGGGGTAACTCCAGTGGCTGGGAGTTGGAGGGGATTCAGCTGGGAGTTGCAGGGAAGTGGGCTGCCATTTGGCTGGTAGCCAGGTAGCCAGCCGAAAGGCAGTGGCTACTGTATAAAATAGATTTCACAACTTTTTTGCCTCTTTTGCCCCCACATGCATAATTATCTAATCTCTTACGTGTGTGTAAGGCTAACTTTTTCACCAATTCAGTCTGGTTTCATCTGACAGGCTTTTGTTGCACTAAAGTTCTGTATAGTAGCTGTCAAGACACCACCTTATGAATACCATCGGGCTCTTTTCTCTAACTCGCTCTTTTAATGTTTGTAATTTTACAGGTGAAAATCCAATGATCCCTAAAGCACACACTGAAGCAGTTATACAACATGTTTGCATGGTTCATGGCTCTGTGGATGAATACAGCAAGCTATTCCTGCAAAAATTTAGACGATTCAATTATGTTACTCCAAAGAACTACTTGGACTTTATAAACACATACTGTAATCTCTTGGAGGAAAAAGAAAACAGTTTCTTAGGTAAGAACATGGAGATATATTATTGAAGCAATATAGCTGATTTGATGCACAATACCAGCTAATTGCTGCACAGTGGTGAGTTTTTGAGGATTTTTTTCCCCATTTGTAGGTCAGTGCAAGCGTTTAGAGAGTGGGCTGGATAAAATGAAGGAAGCCAGCAATGAGCTGGCTGGACTAAATGTCCAGCTTGCAGATCAGAAGGTGGTCCTTGCTGAAAGGTCAAAAGCTTGTGCAACCCTACTGGAAAACATTACCATAAACAAAAGTGAAGGTCAGTAAATGCCTGTAAGGTTTAGCTATTAGCTCTAGAAATGTATGTATTTGTTATGTTTGGCCAATTCAAAGCAACCCCCTCAAGATCAATAAATGTTTTTTTCCCTTTTAGCTGAGGACAAAAGATCTATGGCTAACAAAAAAGCAAAAGAAATTGAGGAACAAAACAAAGTCCTAGCTGTTGAAAAGAAAGAAGCTGAAAATTCCTTGGCTGAAGCTTTGCCAGAATTGGAATCAGCCCGTCACGCCCTGCAAGAGCTGAAGAAATCTGATGTCGCCGAGATCCGGTGATCACACAATTGGCTTTTGGCTGATAAAACAATGTGCAAAAATATCTGTTATCATAAAATTTAGAGATAGATCGATAGACAGATCCCTAATATTTGCTGACATTTTTTGAGAGGAGGATTCTTTTTCTGCCTCCATTTACATGATCAAAATAACAGAGTAATAACAAATGTTATACAAGTCTCAATTTAAACAGAAAAACGTATCTTTCAACAAATTTAATGGACAGTGTGTAATAAATTGGGATTTGTATTTTAAAAATTAGGGCATTTCTTTAACACATATTTATTCAATAAAAGTGTTCCTGTACCATAGAATTAGTTGTTTATAATTACATAGGCAGTGGTGCAGCGCAATTTTTGATCAGAGTAGCCAAAAAGAACCAAAAAACAAAAAGGCGTAGCTTTTTTTAGGTGGAGACAATTTATGAAGGAGCAAGTCTTCAAAACGGTCGCAGAGGTTTCAGGCTTTTTGCCGGACAGGTAAAGGGATTAAATATAAAGTGAAGTTTATTTTGGAGCTATGTTTGTTGAAGGTACGCTGTCCCTTTAAAGAAAACATCATAAATTGCTAGCAAATGGAGCGATGATAGCTGTGCATCATGTGATCTAATGGCTTGGCTGCTTAATGCACCAATGAATCAGGAACTTCCTCCAAGTATCAGCCAATACAGATTCAAGAAAAACAACCAAATATCAGCCGGCTAATATGTTGCTCTATCTAAAAAAAAAACTGCCAATGTATCGCTACAATACCAGACAAATCACGTTATTAAAGAACAGATCATTCAAAACATATTAGCTCATTAACAAACGAAACGAGTTCCCTTCTATTGACGCTCTCTTTCTCCCTGGTGCCTCTTGTAGGTCTTTTGCTAAGCCACCTAAACAAGTCCAAGTGGTGTGTGAGTGCATTCTGGTGCTGTGCAACTATAAAGAAATCAGCTGGCAGTCAGCAAAGGGAATGATGTCTGAAGCCAACTTCCTTCGCTCCCTGATGGAAATGGATTGTGATTCGATAACTAATAGCCAGTTAACGACAGTCAAAGGTAAGTGGCTCAAATGAGATTTATAGATTGTTTTCGGAGAGAACACGCTATAAATTGGGATTAAAACTATAATTTGTGGTGTGTTTACTAACAATCCACATCTAATTATTTTATGTTCTCTGATTGGAACTGACCAGGTTTCATAAAGAGCCTACATACAACCCCAGAGGAAATGCAATCAATCAGCAAAGCTGGCTCAGGGATGCTCAAGTTTGTGAAAGCAATCATAGGCTACTGTGAGACCGCCAAGAAAATTAAGCCCAAGAGAGATAAAGTAATTCAGATTCTCCATTCCTGCTTTTCTTCACTGCTGTAAAAAACTAGAATGGTAAAATAAAAAAGGACTATTCTTTTTAGGTGGCACGCCTAGAAAAGGATTTCTTTAAGAGCAAGAAGGACCTGGGATGCATTCAAAATGAGCTTAGCAGTATCCAGGCAGAGTTGCAAGCTCTTGAGGAAAAGTACAAAGCTGCTATCAAGGAAAAGCATATCCTTCAGGGAGAGGCAGAAGTCATGGAGAGGAGGCTTACAGCTGCTGACAAACTCATCTCTGGCTTAAGCTCAGAAAACAAACGGTTAATGTTTTTTTATCTCATTAATTCTCTTTAAAACTTTGTCTTGGTTTGTTTCAGGATTCTCTGTCGGCTCTAATTAATAGGCCTTCGCAGGTCTGTAATATGTCTGGATCTTCCTTTAGGAAAAGGAATCCATACTTTTACATTACTCATTCATAAAGCATTCATATTTTATGGAGCCTCCCAGTTGTTGACTTCAACCCATAAAAGCTGGCAAAGTTCCAGTTCTGAAATGATCTGATCTTGGTCTAGATTCTAGACTTAGAAAACTTGTACAAAGCCTGTTTTCATTTATTTTTTTACACCCTTAGATGGGCGAGAGACTTGGACGAGTTGAAGCAGAGACGTGCGCACCTCCTTGGTGACTGCTTGGTCTCTGCTGCTTTCCTGAGCTATGCAGGGCCCTTCAGCTGGGAGTTTAGGAATGAAATGGTGCATCAAATATGGGTTAAGGATGTTCAGGAAAGAGGCATCCCCCTGAGTCAGCCTTTCAAGGTGGAAAGCCTTCTTGCTGATGAAGAAGAGATCAGCAGGTGAGTGTTGTGCAAGTTTGCTAAAAGGTTATGAATATATTAAATAGCTAGAGTTAGGAGTTATAACCAATTAATAAGTGTTAGTTAGATGATTATATCTGTTATTTTCTCACCAGGGTTCTAAGTCATTTAAATAAAGTTGGATTTCCAGTTGCCTTCAGCAATTTAGTAACTTAGACTATGTCTATCGGCTGAGCTATTAATGACAAACCAAAGAAATTGTCTCTTTTCATTCAAACCAAGTAGGGTGTATCTGAATGATTATCATTTACTGCATAAAATAACCACAAAAGATGATGGGTTAAAATACAGTGGTACCTTTATTAGCCAATAATCCTCATAGCAGTATTATTGTCTCCATTAACAACGCAAACACTAAACAGGACTGAAAATAAGCAAAAGTAAAGAATCCGTTCAAGAGTCTCTGAGGGATGTTCAAGTTTTAAGGCTTAAAGAATTCAAAGTTTCCTTCAAAATACCAGCTGATAAATATGAATAACCCTGGTGTGGAGACATTAAATGCAATCAAACAGTGAAAAATGAATAATGACACAGGAATGCATTAAAATGTAGTGGCTGGAAAAGAATGGGTTAGCTCAGCTGGCACCGGAGTGGGGCGGGCCCAGCTAGAACAAAAAGGGTTAGAAGACTGACAAAATAGCCTGACTATAACCTGTAGCCTGACTCTTCAAACAAATAGGAAAGAAGGTATTAAGCAGATAGTAACACACAGCATGGATCTTTCAGTCAGACTCAGTGAGCATCAGCATTCAGTTCAGAACTCTTACTTAAAACCATCAGCGGTTGAATCAGAAAGCTTATTTCAGATAAAACATAAACAATACATGTAAAACATCTATTCTACTCTCATTCACCCAAGCAGTGAATTTCATAAGCATCAGAGACAAAAAAGGATGTTTACTTGTTTTCTCAGTGGAATGTAGGGGCAGGTTGGCTGATCCAACAGGCGTTCTGATACAGACAGCAGAAGGAAACTTTGCAGGCCTTAGTTGTGTCACTCACAGCAGCCTTATCACGGGCGTCCTTATAAGGCAGCGGGTAGCTTGTAGCAGCGGCTCTGACGGCAGCAGCACAGTTCCAAACACCAGCTGAACAAATGGGTCATGGTCTGGTGGTTTCCCAGTTTAAGCAAAAAGTGCGTTCAACTTGTTCAACAAAACACCACGTTCAGCTCTTTGGCATCGTAGGCAAAATGTAGTCTGATTCAGCTAGCGGAAACAGAGGTTTTGGTGGCTATGGCGTAGCCTCAGCTGAGAACCAGCTGAGAACCAGCTGAGAACCAGCTTACCCTTTGGAGGCCAGAGAGCCCCAGGCATCAGAGTGTGGGATGGAATCCGGCTCCTTCGGGCCCTGTCACACCTCGCCAATTTAGACAGCATTTGCCTAACATCCCAGAATCTCCTAAAACTCTGGCATACGCTGAACTTTCTATGTATTTTTTCAATTTTGGGTGTATACATAGCGTATTCATAACGAGTCCAGAACTTCTGTCCAATGAAAGCCTGATTATGCATAATGCACGACAGCGTAATGCCCATGAAATGATGCACAAGCCAGCGTCCTGAGGGGAGCACCGATGCACCCGGAGATGCCTGGTCTGCATAAAAAGATGTCTTTGATCGGGGTATTAACCTAGCTGTTGTTCACCCTCTGCCCTAAATATAAATAAATAAATAAAAATAAAAAGAAACAAAGAAGGTTTGCAGTCGCAGCAGATTCAGCGTCATGTCTGCTAGAAAGTTTGTTGGTCGTGGATGTGAACGCAGGGAGGATCCATTACAACCACCTTCTGGCTCACCCTATGATGGTGATACAGTCTGGAGGAGAACTGAACTGTGAACCCCTTTTCATAACAAAAACTGCCAGTAGCTGTAAGTTAGAAACACGTTCAGCCGTCGTCTGGAACACGTCAAATACATTGACATGCATTACGCGTAAGTTATAACCAAGTTACTCATAACTTTTGGATAAGTCAGACACCACGTCTTATAAGTAACTTTCACTCAATACAGGGGTCTTCAACCCCTTTTTCCAGGCCAAGGACCCCAAGACTGATGGCGAGATGGAGCGGGCACCCCCTAATTATATATATTGTGTGAAATAGTGTTCTATCAAACTGGTCCTATAGTCATTCTATTACAGATGGTGTCATGTAATGAAAGTAATTTTTCACTTGGATTATGAAAGTATTTCTGATTCTGATTCCTGGTTGATGGGACAGGTGTTGTGAATGAAACAGTGCCCAGCTTGAAAGAGCTCCTGTTTGTCGCTGAATTTGTGCATTGATGACTAAAAGACATCTTCTACCTCCATTTGAATTCATGTTAATGTGCATTTAAAGACATTTCAATTAGTGGAAAAAACTGCAGGGGGAAATATAAAATAAAAAAAAATAAAAAAAACTCTAATCAACCAAAACCTTCGCGACCCCTATGCAGTACCTCTGTGGAACCCCTAGGGGGCGCGGACCCCCTGCTGAAGACCTCTGACTTAACGTATGTCAACGATCAAATAACTTACCTGTAACATATACATACGCAGGGTATGTCGACGTGTGCCATGTGTTTCAGCGTGCTTCAGCATACTTCAGCGTGCTCATAACTTATAAAACACGTACCAATAATTTATCCAACGTATGCCAGCATTTTGCCAGATTTTTCTTATGTCAGGCATAAGCTAGTCTAATACAAGGTGTGACAAGGGCTTTAAGCAAACTCTGTCGCAGGGATGTGACGTCATGGGGGAGTTGCTCCTGCTTACATCATCGATATTTGATCCTCAACATGAGAAATGAGTAATTGTAAAGATATTATAATTTTTCTCAAAAAAAGATGTTTAAAAACATGACAAAAAATACATTTTAGATTAATTTTTGGTTCTTTTACATACAATACCGATTATGAAAGTACTTACTGTGTATTTGATCTGCAACAGATGGGGCTCTGAGGGGTTGCCCCCCGATGAGCTGTCTGTACAGAACGGAATCCTGACAACCAAAGGAAGTCGCTTTGCACTGTGTATTGATCCTCAGCAGCAGGCATACAACTGGATTAAAAAGAAAGAAAAAACCAACAATCTCACGGTAAAAATGTGCCTAATAAAACAACTTCTTTCCCATGTTTTTTTAACTTGCTGCTTTTTATATATAATAGAAAGGATTTTTTCTATGTAGGATGACAAGGGCCACGATTCAGTAAAGAATTACATAATGAAATAATTTTTGTACATAAATAGATTAATCAAAATTTGACTACAGGACGTATTTAATAATATACAATTGATTATGCGAACCTCTGCTGAATAGCATGATTTTATTTTATGATGTAAATGTAATTATTTAATAAATTAATAATATTCCTACATGTAAGCAGACCATGAATTAATGTAAACTGTCACACATCTATCAAAGTCAGCGAGGCGGGACTACCGCCAGTCTCTCAAATCCTGACGTCCGATTGGATGTTCCCAACCGAGCAAAGCATGAGCAGCTCAATTTAAGCAAAGGGACATGAAGTTTTCGAGAAGATGCTTATTCTCTTATCCAATAGGCTTCCTCAGTTCTAACTGGTGGTGGAAGACAGGCCAAACGTCTTCTAGAAAACTAAACTTTTCAAGCTGGATGACTGAGAATCGTCCCAAATATCTAACTAAGCAAAATAAGACAACTTCTTCCTGATTTTCTTTTTCACAAAATCTAAAATGTGCTGCAAGTCATATAAGCAAACTGTGAGCAAATCCAGCCTCTATATTGTTAGTTTGGTCTGAAATATATCCAATGACCTTATGAATGAGTTTACTGTGATCTAGTGTGGTGGGAGCTGCCAGAAACCTCAGTAGAATGAAGGTCAGCCCCGCCCACTGACTAACGCCTGCTCACATTTTCTCATGAACATTTTAGACACCAAACCATGAAATGAGCGGCTGGAGCTGCTCACCCAATTTGCAATATTTAAATAGCAACATGCATTAGAAATGTATTTACAAGCTTTTTAGCCGAATGTTTACAATAGGGCAAAAGAATACCAAGAAGAACTTGTCTTATCTGGCTTAGTAAGAAACAGCCAATCATACGTCTGGGTTTCTATGGAAACGGATGTCGTCCTTTGTCTTTGTTTGTTGTGACAGTTTAAATTACCGGTAATTTGTTGTGAGCTTCAGCGCAAGAGTATGACATGATTAATGAAATAATTATATTCTCTTAAAATAAAATCTATATATTGAACATAGGTGCATATAATTCATTATGTGTATTAAATAGATTATGTATTTATTTCCAGTTTTAATAAATTAACACATTTAATACTTAATTCATTAGGTATTTATTTATTTTTCCAGCACTTGTCATCCTCCATGTTTTCGAGTACTCATTTTTCGATCTTTATTAGGGCAGTTGTAAATATTTTTTTCTTCCACTCTGTATGTATTTTAATGTTTTAACAAGAAAACTACTTTCTAAAGAAACACATTCAAGGTAATGATTGCATTTTGGACATATATGTTGCAGAAAATCAAAGTTTTTCCTACATTTTCTAAATTTTATATAACATGGACATGAAAACCTTTTCCAGACAGTCAGCTAGTACAACCAATTAATGGTTAGGAGGGTCTCCTGGTTCAGGGCTCAGGTTAAAGTAATAAATGTAACGTTTGAAGTTTAGTCCTAACAAATATAAACATCTTTCCCAACAGATTTCATCTTTCAACGATCCAGAATTCCTGGAACAGCTTGAGATGGCCATCAAGTTTGGCTTTCCGTTCCTTTTCCAGGATGTGGATGAATACATCGACCCAGTAATTGAAAATGTTCTAGAGAAGAATCTGAGAGGACCTGAGGGCAGACATGTCATTATGCTCGGTGACAAGGAGGTGGATTATGATCCTAACTTCAGACTTTATCTCAACACCAAGCTGGCTAACCCTAAATACACTCCAACAGTGTTTGGGAAAGCCACGGTCATTAACTACAGCGGTATGATCCACACCAGGACACCTCTGCTTGTTATCTGATCTTATTCAAAACAAGGTTTGCCTGTGTAAATGTTTATGTGAATGTTCCACACAGTAACGCTTAAATGTCTGGAAGATCAGCTATTGAGCGTCATCGTGGGCTTGGAGAAAAGAGACACAGAAGAGCAACATGTGCGTTTAATCCAAGAGACCAGTGCGAATAAGAAGCTGCTGAAAGATCTTGGAGATTTATTGCTTATAGAGCTGGCCAATTCTACAGGCAACATTTTGGACAACACAGATCTCATTAAAACTCTGGAGAAAACAAAGCTGAAAGCCACTGAGGTTAGACTTGTTAAGGTTTGCTGCTTTTATGTTATTAAATAATGCATTCATGAATTGTTAACCTTTAAATCTGTATTCACCAGGTATTTGAGGCGCTCCAGTTGGCTCAGAAGACATTAGAGCATATAGATCAACTCAGAGACAGTTACAGACCTGCTGCAAAACGCGGCGCCATCCTTTTCTTTGTACTGACAGACATGGCTCTGGTCAACAGCATGTACCAATACTCACTCGCATCCTACTTGAAAGTGTTTGAAATGTCTATAAAAAGTGCTCCGTCTGAATCGGTTCTACACGAAAGGATTCAAAACATCATCAACACTCTGACATACGATGTTTACAACTATGGCTGTACAGGTAAAAGAGCCGGGTTAGATTAGTTTTAGACATTTGGAATTCTTATGGTATAAAGTTTAAGTTGTAGATTTCTTGATCCTTTAAATGTCCACAGGGCTGTTTCAGAGACACAAGCTGCTTTTTTCATTCAACATGGCGGTGAAGGTTGAACAGGGAGAGGGAAGAGCACCCCAACAGGAGCTAGAATTTTTTATAAAAGGTCATTTATGTAGAAAAACCTTGTGTATATATATTGTCTATTAACATACTTGGTCCTCACATTTTTATTTCTTCTTTTCCCTATTAAAATGGCTAAAGGTAATCTATCTCTGGAAAAAAGCAGCAAAAAGAAGCCATGTGATTGGCTTCCTGACCAGGGCTGGGAGGATGTGGTCAAACTTTCCGAGATCTTTCCTGATCAGTTTGGCTCTCTTCCTGATGACATTCAGAAAAATTCCTCAGACTGGAAATCTGTAAGTGATCAAATACTGTGGAGTGAATCAGTGCAAGCAAAGAACAAGCTTTGTAAATATTTACAAAACAATCATGTTATATGATTTTTTTTTCTATATTTTTTTGTAGTTTATTTTACAAGTTTTTTTCTTCCTATTTTTTTTTTTTTTTACAGATATTTTTTTTTTGTGTGTGCAAATTTCTCTTCTTCAAATTGAGTTATACGGATAACATTCTCTTCTCTTCAGGCCCAATACAAATCGAAATACCGTCTCTCTTCTCTCATGAGGACGGCCCGCCCCCAGAAGTGAAGAGAATAGGATCTCTAAAACAAAATGTATAACGAATAGTTTCTAAAACTCATCCTGAAGAAAAGGAGGAGAAAAGTTTATGATATAAAAAAAATATAGTTGCAAAAATAATTAACAAAACTAGAAAAAAGATCAGGGAAAACAGCAAAGTTATTCATAAAGTGTTTTTTATTTTATCTCTAGATTACATTTTTTTTTTTCCAAATTTCCCATTTTTAACAATAAATTCAACAATAAAGGAACAAAATTCACTCCATATGTAACAGGAATCAATGTAATCAGGTAACAGTAAGTTTGAGCTTTTTCTGTTTTTTTCCCCCCTCAGTGGTATGATTTGGACGCACCAGAACAGGCTCCATTTCCCAATGAATACAAACAAAACCTTTCGGCCTTCCAGACCCTGCTGTTACTGCGCTGCTTCCGTGTGGACAGACTCTTCAGGGCTGTGACTGACTACATCACTGTGACCATGGGAGAGAAGTGAGACTCTTTATAAAGTGCAATGAATCACAGTACCAAACAACAGTTTGCATCCATTCAGGCTGCTGCCCTTTAAAACATGGGAGGCTCAATGGTGTTTATTAGACCCTATTGTTACATTTTGCATTAAAAAATGTTGAAACACATCACTATAGCAGGGGAAAATACTCAAATAATAATCTCCAGAAACCACTTCACAAAATGAATGATCACTTTTCTCTCTCGACTCAATAATGAAAACCTTTTCACTGTCCGTTAGTGTGTCAGTTTCAGGACCTTCCCCTGCTCTATAGACCCCCTAAGACGTTTAGCTTCAATGGAAGTGACATTTTGAGATGTTATCCAATCAGGGCTCTTCTCTCTCGCTGCTGACTGAGGCCCAAACCTCAACAGGGATTTCTCATAGAGGCTGACCGGCAGCGTCCTGCTGCTTCAGAGCGGAGGGAAGATCACGACCGAGAACGGAATAAACAGCTGATTAATGCGCAACATATTCATGAAATCAGGCATTTTTAGAGCATAGTAAAAAAGGTTTAATGACTTAATTTATTAAGTTTGACAATGCATATTTTACCAATAATTTTACGAAATTACAGTAGAGATTTAGCTTTCCTAAAGTTTTATATATACACATATATATATATATATATATATATATATATAGATATATATATATATACACGTGTATATATATATATAT